CTTGGATTTACAGTTGTTCTTATTGACGGCCGTGGGTCTTCAAATAGAGGCGTAGCATTTGAATCCTACCTAAAAGGCCGCATGGGTACTGTTGAGTTAGAGGATCAGATAGCTGGACTAAAATATCTGTCGTCTAAAAACATGGGTGTTGACTTAGAAAGAGTAGCTATAACCGGTTGGAGTTATGGGGGGTATCTTAGTTTAATGGCACTTGCTCAGTATCCTCAGTTTTTCAAGTTAGCCATTGCTGGGGCACCTGTTACACAATGGGAACTTTATGATACCGCTTACACTGAACGATACATGGGTCTTCCTGAAGAAAATGTGGAAGGATATTACAGGGGAAGCGTGTTAAATTGGGTGGAAAACTTTCCCGATGAGTAAGTGTGTGATTGATTATCAAGTTTTATCTCACCAATCACTCACACCTTTATACATTTCACTATTTCACTTAAGGGAACATCGTCTTCTAATCGCACACGGAAAAATTGACGAAAATGTACATTTCAAAAATTCCGAGTTACTGGTTTCTGCTCTGGACAAACACAAAAAACCACATAAACTTCAGCCATATCCAACTGAACGGCATGGTTTGAGACACGCGAACGCAGTAGAAGATTTTGAGACGTTGATGTTTTCCTGGCTGGTCAATTATTTGTGACGACCAATTTCCATTTTTTATTCTATTCTATATAAGAGGTTTGAAGAATCTTAGGGTGGCGTTAGATATTTACTTATATTTATAATTGGAATGCGAAGATGAATGAATAACACATGTCAAATAGTTAATCACCTAATTCTAGTCTGTCAGGCCTACTAAAATATGTCAGTGTATCGGAAAAATCATGTCTATGACCTAGCGTTAATACATTTATTGTATCTATATTTAAATCCTTAGAATGTATCATATATAATTAAAGTTTGCATAATTTATAAAGGATTTGATCTCATTTACGCGCCACGGAAATCTCATTCGTAACATTTAGGCAAAAACAAGAGATATCATATACGTACATGTATATACACAGTAGTACCTGTAGAATACAAATCATTAGAATATTGAACACCAGTTTATTAACAAAAATTATAATTGTTCAAAAGTATTACCCTTTGATTAAGAAAAATGAAAAGCAAGTACTAATTTTAATAATTTATAAAGTTAAAAAACCCTGCATGACTTAAAATATTTGAGTTCGAAGTGATTTCTTTTAATGAGGAATCATCGCATGATTTTTCCTCTTTAATTTTTCGATATGAATTTAAATACTTTTGTAAAGAATAAATAAAATAGTACAAAACAATTCAAAATTTCTGAATCGACGATGATAACCTAGGGATAATGTTAACGGTCCTATCATTCTTACAGGCTGACCGATTGGTCATCACGGACCATTAACATCTGTTGACAAAAAAAAAATATATATATGTATATATATGCTGTATGTATAAATACTTGAACGTAAAAAGTACAAGAATAGTAAGAGGGTGAATATGAAATGGGTAGTTAAATAGGTAACGATTTTTCGTGACTTTTTTCTGTTGCAGGAGACATTTAGGGCGCCATTAGGAAAATTGTGCCTCCCCGTGTTCTAAAAATAGATGTCGATGATGTATTTCATATTAATGTAAATAATGACTTAAATATTGTACACGAATCAGATATGAAGGGGAAGCTCTGGTAAAACGGTAAATAGGAGAAGTGTCGGGTGGAATGAGATCCCAATTACTTGGAAAAGATGTGTACGTGCTCTAGATTTATTTTTACTTTGACGAATTGAACAAGATGCTGTTATCCATTAATTAATCGGATATTGCACGCATGTGGGGAGGCACAACTTGCCCCAGGCACCGGTTGAATCCCTATTGAACAAAAAGAATACAGAAATGGATAAATAGTTAAATAGTTAAAAATAATACAAATTATCAACAAATAACCACAAAATATTTTGATGTCCAACAACTACGTCTTTCTTTTAGCGAATGTCTTATTCAGCAGCGATAGAATCTTGTTCACATTCAGTTGTACATATTCGAGGTCCAATGATACGACGTTATCTTGTTGCTGTGTAGTAGATTATAACAAGTTATTATCACAAATAATTTACATATCTTCAAGCAGGATTCTGCGGTTGCAAAATTTACCTTTTCCAACAGATCGTCCAACTTGAGATCCATCTCCAGGATGGCAGCGTCACGTCCCTTGTAATGAAGTGCAATGATAAATGTTCCGGGTATCGGTGATGTAATATTGAAATAAATATTTTGTCTCCTTTGTACACGAAGAGATAAGATTAATCATATCAGTTATAGCATTCGCAAAGTCCACAGTCCTTCAAAACTTACCGATTTTCAGGAACATTGCTTTCCACGATGACACCATCCCTCTCCAACTGAGTATGCGTAAATTTATATGGTCCTAATACTTTCATTTTTACAGGCTTCTTTTCTTTGTCTCCCACCTTAACTACACTTGACCCAGGTCCTCCAACTGAATCTTTTGAAGTTTGTTGCCGTACATTTTGTAAATAGGCTTTGTAACTGTCTAGCTGACTTCTCAAGTAATTGTTATGATCACATATAGTCTTATATACCGCTTCGAGAGAACGAATTTCTTCTTTAACTTTTTCACGAAGATTGCCAAGATGTGTTAATTCTTGAACAACTTCTTCTGTCATGAGATGATATTCATCCTTATGATCTATAACTCCTACTTCTTCAAGTTCCCGAAGCATCTCTTTTACTTTGATCCCTTTACGGACCAAAGTAGCATCTTTTGCTGTTGCAGCTATCTCGGCGATTCGGGGAAGGTCGATTGGTCGTTTGTCAGCCAACTTTGGGATAGACCGAATGATTTGCACGAATATAGATTTTGTTTCCATATATAAAATGTCATTTTGCGTCACACTATTGTCGGACATAAGCGCCGTAGCAAGATCTGAACGAACCAGGTGTGTTTAACAGGAGACTGATAAAAAGCACTAGTAAACGAAATATAGGGATATTCACCTTGTATTGGGGTCTCCCATCTGCTAAATAATGGAAGTTCGATGGTTTTGTTCTCCTTTCTCCCTACTTGCGGAGGAGCTGGACCCACTTCATCGAGAAGTATGCGTAAGTGATTTTTTTCCGAGGGCGCCTGTGAACAATGAGATTATATTCATAAAGATGTCGAAATTTGTTTGATAAAATTATATCTTCATGTATCTACCAAAACATCCTGGTGTTGAACAAGCAAAGCATGTGTGTTGTATACTTCATTCAATGTGATATGTAGAATTAGATCCTTTTTTGAAAGCGCCATGTATTGATCCATCTGCATATGACGTAATTTGTTAATGTAAAGATAACTTGAACAATAAACATCCTAATTGACATTACTTACCTCTAAACTTTCATAGAAATCTCCTACTTCACATAATTCCAGCAGAAACTTATTAATCCTTTGCTTATTATTTTCTACAAAAGGATCAAACATTTTCATATATTCTTCCTTCTTATAAGATGGTTTGTTTGCGAGATTTTGTAAAATCTTGGCGACCTAAATCAATAATAATATTTTAAAACCAAACTTTTTTTATTTTATTTTGATTCTATTATTAAAGCAAGAGATCATACCGACCAGTGTCAATGTCCGTCGTGGGTGTTTACTCGGTAGTCCATCGACCAGCATGTATGTTTGTGGTGTAACGATGGCAGAATTTATAAACCGTAAGAAGAAAAATCCTCCAATCAGCGAGCAGATCGCATAATCACTACAGTCTGGAAACTTCCGCTAAATCGTCGAACAAAATAAATTAATTATAATTCAATTGAATATTTTACTATTATATAAAGCACTTTATGGATGTTCTCACTTTCGTCAATGATCTAATCTGTTTACAGATCCATCGTATACCATACGGCGTTTGTTCAATGGAGCTCATTATTGTTTTAAGAAAAGAATTTGCAATATCCATCAACATTGTTATACGAGGCGCTATAATTGACTTAACGGTCTCATTAGAAGCAGCATATTCTTCTGTTACGCTACGTGGAATATCATCTGTTAATGTGCCTTCTTCTTCCTTAGTTTTAATCCATTGTTCATATACCTACAATGTAAGTGGTTATCAGAGTCAGTCGATTAAGCAAAGTAGAGCGATAGGATTAGAGAGAAACCGCATACTAATAACGGATTGATCTCCAGGTTTAGATCCTTGTGTTCTATCAAACTGTTAATCAGTTCCGACAGTACTAATTTTAAATAACTTTGACCAGGTCCACGTCGCGTATATGTTGTCATCATTCTTGAGACCGGTGTGTTTGCTCGCAACAATGAATTGAAGTCCGGTGTCGTTTCAAATTGTGCAGAGAGTACAGACTTTTTTCATAATATGTATTGATACGAAAATGGAGATTCATTAGTGAATTCTTCAAGTTACTGTCATCCTTCACACTCAATGGATATTCTTACCTGAAACATGGTCAACAACAAATGCTCCTCCCTGCTCTCATATTGATTACCATATAACGTGAACATAACTGTCTGCAATAAGGTATCAATTTCTGTCAAACTGACCAGGCGACATAAAGTCGCAATATGGCGTGGTTCAGTTTGTAGGAGGAAAAATAAATTTCCATATTGCTGTAATTTACGATCATCCGGGAATGAACCACTCTCAGCCTCCGTATCATCGAGGTGGCTTTCAACTTCTTGTTTCTATTGTAAATGGAAATGAATTTGATAAAATAAAGGGTCTGACGTTAAACCATCATGTTTGTTTACTGAATTATAGATTCCCAGTTTAACAATGAATTATATATCATTAAATACCTCATCCAATGCCATTCGATTCTGAATCAATAGTGCAATGCGAGAGTCCAAATATCTAACGTCTCGTTCCAGAACAAAATTCTTCTTTGATTGCGCTGAGATTCTACTTTTTAATTCACGTAAACGCTTTTGTGCTTTTAAAAGAGATACCAAGTTAAATAATTAATAATAAATCTTGAAAATCGTCTAGGAGTTCCAACACCGATGCACAGTTTTGCCGCCTCAATTTTTTACGACCTGTAAATTACCTCTGGCCAAGTCATCTTCTACTTCAACATCTTGTTCAGCTGCCATTGAGTAAAGTGCGGTCACCGAGTACCTCTTGCTAGTACGACTAACAGTGGTACTCGTTGTCGCCCTCCGATTAGGATCATTTGAGGAGAGTGTAAGCGGTGTGATGGGAATGCCGTAAGAAGCTAATATGCTCTCACGCGAATCCATTCAAAATTATTTGTATTGTTGAACGTTGTCTTCTCTCAAAATGTTTTGCTTTTTCAACTGGTATTTTTAATTTGATTTATTATGTCATACATGGTATTAAAAAACTTAGTAAACATTTTGCTTTTATAAGTACGTGCTACACACGCAACCGCATTTATCTTGCGTGTTACACACCTATGCGCACGGTTTTGTATGTCTCGATAAGTGTTAGTATAATGTAGCCCGCGCACCCTGAGGGTTTGAGAAAAATGTGACCGCGAGAGAAACATTACATAATAAACTATCAAAAGAAGACAGATACACATTTCCTTCGACTTCTTCCGGAAGATTATGTACGTAAATTAAACCTTCTGCAACAAGGTACAAATTTCCGTGTCGAGTTTGCAGGTTACTTTACCAATCAAACCCCACCTTACTCATTAACTTTAACCTATGCTAATTTTAGCAATAATTTATTTTACATTAACGTTTAAGGTACGTTGGGAGAGCTGAAAATCTCATTCTTGAAACGTGCATGCTCATTTTTCCGGAAGGTATGGATATACCAGGTTTGACCCAACCACGTATGTGCATACAAATGAGTATAACGTGACCGTTCATTCTAAATGGGTAATTTATTGCTGGTCCTTTAAACGCTGTCAATAAAGGATCGTTGACAACCATCAAATAAATAAATTTCATTTGTAAGACAATACAATAATAACGATCACATTTAATATAATTCATTAATCCTCAGTAGCACGAAAATAATTGACCAGTGAACAAAAACATTTTCGATTCTTGATTCAATTTGATATTATAATTAATAATGATATTTTTTGATTCACTAATATTGATTAAATAAAAGACCATTGATTATGCCAATTCAATGATACAAATTTGACAAATTCAGTAATAATTTCTATTCAAGCGTTTATTAAACAGATAAATTTTTAAAATAGAAATCACTATTTAGCAACCAGGTATTGAATGCGAAGTTTTATTAAACGTAATTTAATCAATTACAAAATGTCTGCATATACAATATATTGAAAATCGAATTTATTAATTTTTTTTAATTTTATAATAAGTAAATATTTTTGAATACAATTTTAAAATAAATCAATACAGTGAATATCCAAAATATTAGAGACGATCACCTATAAAGTTTCATGTAAGTTTAATTTGTAAATCATTATATTATAGATAACAGTATTTATAGTACGTATTTAAACATGTAATTAAATATGTATTGGTTTAAATAAAAAAAAATTAAAGTAATCATTTTTAATATTAAAAAATGAATAAAAAATTTAATATCTTAACAAAGAAGTACAATAATTTTTTTATATGAAAAATATTGTATAATACTATTGTAACTAAAGTTAATTATTCAAAAGTAACTGTTGGTTATATACGTAATAAAAAAAGTTTAAAAAAAAAAATCAATTGAATCAGATAAACTGAATATTTATTAATTTTTGATATATAATTTTAATTAATTATAAAAAATATTATTAAAAAATATTATTTTATATCTTTAAAAATAACAAATATTTTTAATTCACAAATCAACTTTAATATTTTGAAATACAATTTATTGTAGTTTATATTAAAAAAATCTGAATTTCTATATCATATATCCAAAATTATTTATTTTTAATATTAATTTTAAAAAATATCTTAATTAATATTTTTTTTTTTTTTTTAACTCCAAATTAGGTTGCATGTTTATTATGTTTAATTAATTCTATATGGAAGACTCTTATACATGTGTATTAAAAATACTATATACAAGGCTAAACTTATTGAGACTATGCAACACAC